ACCCACCCAAAAAGTACTCGGAGAAGGCTCGGGGGCTACGGGATAAATAACCCCAGAATTTTTTGAAGACAAGAATCTAGACCCTCCAACTTTTGCAAGCAAAAGCAAGAGGCTCGGGGGCTACACTCAGTGAGTGCAATTTTTACGAAAAATTGCACCCACCCAAAAAGAACTCGGAGCAACCAAGAAGACTAAAGGGACCCTCTGGCTTCTTGTCCCAACAAGCAAGAGGCTCGGGGGCTACACTCACTGAGTGCACTTTTGTCCAAAAGTGCACATCAGCCGGAGAAAAGACAAAGAAGACCATCTCAAGATTTCACTTCAAGAAAAAACCCGGAACAAGTCTACAACAACCCGGACCTTGAAGCTCAATCATGAAATGCTCGGGGGCTTGTCGATGCGGGACCCATAGGGTTCCACACGGAGAAGAGAGAAGAATACCTAGTCCAACTAGGATTCCCTACATGTAATCCTATTAGGACTAGTTACATATAATCCTATTAGGATCTCTACTTTGTAACCGACTAGGACTCCCGCCTCTCCTAGACTATATAAAGGAGGGCAGGGGTCCCTAGATCGAGAGAGACAATACCGGAACACAAACACAACAAATAGCGCAGGGCGCAATATACTATCCACACCAGACTGGACGTAGGGTCGTTACTCGATCTACGATCGAGGGCCTGAACCAGGATAAATCGACTGTCTCTTGCGTTTACCATCGAGTTCAGCATACGCCGAAGCCCGAACAATACTGCCCCGGGTACCCCCGTGGCAGGCTATCGGTGGTGAAACATCGACAGGGACTAACTGCTAGGCAGAAAAGGGGTACAGGTAGACGGTCATCAACTACAGAGTCATCCAAGTATGTCATCCATGTGTACTCTTTTCCAGTTTCTCATACTTCGAACAGGTTTATGCCACATCCCACATTGGATATTTACTGATGCATTTTTACTACTTTGTTTTGAAATGACGGTGCCACTAATGTTGGAGGAAGACCACCAACTGGGAGGGGGAGGGGGAGGGGGAGGGGTAGAGGCATAGGAAGAGGAGGAGGAAGAGGTGCTTCAAGGCTTGCTGCTTTGCTCAATGTGTAGAAATGACCACTGCTTGGGATACGTAATAACTAGTAGGTGATTTGTTGTGTATGTGCTAGGCCATGTATGACCTGGACATGATCTTGGCATGTGGTGCCTTTATTTTTGTGTGCTTAGTTGTGATCAGGGCATGACAAACTTGATGTGGTTCCTGTCAACTCTTGCATTATGATGCAAATATTATGCTTATATATTATCTGGACTCTCTTCATGTCATGGTTGCAAAATATTATACTTTGATATTTATCCAAAATATGTATTGTCATTTGTCCAAAATAAATGGACAATAAGTCTGTACATAAAAAATCGGATTGATTCTTGTGTCATTCATGTCAAGGGTATTTTTGTCTTTTCAGCTTGTACTTAACACCGTTAACTCTCCTTCACGGAATAGGGGCAAGTGAAAGCTTCAGATTGAAAAAACAGGGGCAAATCTGCAAAGTTAAAAAAACAGAGACAAACGTGCAGTTAGAGCTCAAAACAAGGGGCAAAAATGCAATTGGCCCAATCTATATATAGTCCATGTTACTATAGTCCTAATTCACAATCTAGAGTATAATAATCCAAAGTGATCCAAGAAGGGGCTTAGACGTGGCTTCTAAAAGTAAATTTGACCTCTAATAATTTCTAGTAGGCTTTAATCAGCATTGATAAGAGTAGTCATTGGATCTATTCTGTTTTTCTTAAAAAACACTCACGCCTATCATAATGAAAAATAACATAAAGTAACTGCTATATATATTTGCGTCTAAATTACCAAACTTTATCTTTATGAAACATAATACAATGTAACTCCTTGAATTTGCATCTAAATTACTCATCTTTGTTATTATTGAATTAAACTAAAAGACACCCTCCATGATAATCCTCACTAAAAAGAAAAGATAAAATTCTAAAACTCACAAAAATAAAAAGATGTTATCATCAATTTTGATCTATTCTATTTCTTAAATTTGAGACTCTTTACCTTGATTGATAAAAACCACTCACCTTTTTATTATGAAATTAATACGATGTAACCTCCTATAAATCTACATCTCGACCTCTGCTGTTACAACATAATCCAAAGTAACCATAAAATTTTACATTCAAAATTGCACATGCTTTCATTACGATACATAATCTAAGTAATCTATTAATTTTCATCTAAATTACGCACTTCTACCATTATTAGACTCCAACTTAAGAAATACCCACTCATCCGGCCGGTGAGTATTTTCGTTTAATTGTAATAGTGATAAGGAAGATGACAATTATAATAAACTTTTCTACAGCATAAAAAACGGTAATGCAACTACTAAGACGTCCAGAAGGCCGGACGCCTCGTTCCACTCACTACCGCATGCGCCGCTCGTCTAAAAAACAAAATCAACTCCCGCACGCCTAGCTCCGCTCTCGTCCTTACCCTTCAGCGCTTCTCATCCCCTATCGCAGCGCACCAACGCCCGGCGACCTCCCTGACCGGGAGCCCCAACGCTTATAGATCCGGCGGTCCTCTCCCCCATCCTGGCAAGATCCATGGAGCAGGAGCGAGATTCACTTGCTCAGGCGAGATCCATGGAGGTGGCACGACGGTGATGTAGGGGAGTGGGGGCTCTCCTCTACCCTGGTGTGATGCCGTCCCCATCCTCGGCGGCGCCCTCTCTCACCCCGGCGACCGAGCCCCCCACCCCGGTAGCCATGGCGCTCCTCGTCCCTCATCCCCCACCGCCACCGTCGAGCCATGCCTGATACTAGTGGCGCTAGTGCTCGTGCATCGCCGCTCGCCGCCAGCACCGACCCCGACGACTGGAATTGACCTGCCTAGGCTTTCTCCTCCCATATGTTGCAAATGTATGTTTCAGGTGTTTCAGTCGTTTCAAAGATATGTTGCAGTTGTTTCTTATAGATGTTGCAAAAGTAGATCGGGGGATGTTGCACATGTTGTATATGTTGCAAGTGTTTCAGAAGCATGTTGCAAGCCTTTGTTCAAAATGTTTTATCTGTTTCCAAACGTATGTTGCAATCGTTTTTTATCTGGATGTTGCATATATTTTCACACATATGTTGTAACAGTATGTTCCAAATGTATCAGCTGTTTCGGTCGTATGTTGTAGTAAGTGTTTTTTCATGTTTCAATTGATGTATCTAGATGTTGCATATGTTTCACACACATGTTGCAAGCGTATGTCCCAAATGATTCATCTATTTCAAATGTATGTTGCATTTCATTTGAGTGTTTAATGTTGAAAGTGCAGACCACCGGCATTGGTGTCCAGGAGGGCGGGCAAGGCCAAGCCACGACCACCGACGTGTGGAGGAGGCGCTGGCCGGCGCCGGCGGTGTGGGGAGGAGCCACAGGCTACGCGGTGCTATTGTGGAAGAGGCGGGGGTGAGTCTTCCGGGTGGCCTGGAAGAGACGGGCGCCGCGCCAGTGTGAAAGAGGCGGGGACGAGTCATCCGAACAGCGTGGACAATGGATCTGAAACGGGCGGTTCGAATGCCACCGCCGCCACCGCGATGACTCACACGTCCATCCGTCCCATGCATGGGTCGTTAGCCCGTCTGCAGCTATCATCAGTATTCAGTCTCACGTCCGAACATTGGCCCGTTCGCCGCGATCATTACTCGCACGTCCGGACGACCGGCTGTTCTCGCCCATCTGCAAGTGATTAGGCCTGGTTTAGTTTCTCCCTAAAAGTTTACACCCTATCCTATCAAATGTTTGGACACATGTATGCAGTGTTAAATATAGACTAAAAAAATAACTAATTACACAGATTACGACTACTTTACAAAACGAATCTTTTAAGCCTAATCAGTCCATGATTTGACAACAAAGTGCTACAGTACACATATGCTAATGACGGATTAATTAGGCTTAATAAATTCGTCTCACGATTTACTGACGGATTCTATAATTTATTTTTTTATTAGTATTCGAATACCCCATATGACACCCGATATGACGCTTTAAACAATGCCTGGTTGCACGTCCGGCCGTCTGCCGCCGCCGGCGTTAGATCGATCTGCTGTCCCAGACTAAGCCGTTGCTTTTAATCCCTTCGTCGGGTTGGACCAAGTGTTCCACCTCGATCATGCAGTCACGCTCTTCTTTTCCACCTTTCCTGTAGCTACTAATTTCAGAATTCAGGTTGCTTCTCATTCTAATTTGCTGCTTAATTTCTCTCAATCATGGTTCTACTTCTACTCATTCACAGGAGTAACTGTCTATATTTACGTGTATTATTGCATATATATATATATATATATATCGGATCACAAAAGCAATAAAAGTAATTGATCGAAAAAAAAAACAGAAGCATTAAAAGTACTGAACTCTATTCAACAACAATCATTTCCAGCACTGGTTTACTGTATATACATTGGATGTTATTTGTGCGTGGCTTTCATGGCATTCAGTAGTACTTAAATTTGCAGTCTCACAATGCCTTTGCTAATCAATAAATAATTTCTTTCTATACTGCTTCAACTCTACAAGGACAAAGTGCACTAATAATGTAAAGGATTAAGTCCACTTTTGGCCCCTGAACTCTCGTGTCGGTCTAATTTTTACACCCAAGTACAAAACCGTCTGATCTGGACACCAGAACTTTCAAACCCGTTCACTTTAAGCCCCTCGGCGCGTTTGAGGCGGTTTGCGCTGACGTGTTCCCGGTTTTGAGTGGCCACTCTGGCGGTGACGGACATGTAGGATCACCGCGCGGGTCAAAACACGAGTCGGCCCGCTTAGCTCTGTCTCTCCCTCTCAGTTCCTCTCCCCCGAACACTAGATGTCGCCGCCGCCTCCATCGCTGCCGCCATCGCCGTAGCCGCTACCGCATCCTCTCCTCTGGTCCCTCCGCGTCCGCAGTCTCCCCTCCGCCTGGGAGTCCTCCGCCGCCGCCTTCGCAGTCAAATATGGCGAGCTCAAGCGGATCCGGCCGAAGTTTGGGGACCCAAGAGTTGCGATGGCGTCGCCATGGTGATTCCCATGGCGATTCGTCCTCACCCATCCCCTATCGTGAAGGACCACTGGAGTATACCCCAGTTGTGCTATGCAAATACGGTGCAAAAGCTGCTAGGTTCATATCTTGGAGTGATTTGAACACAGGATTGCGCTATCTGAAGTGTGCACGGGCTCATGTAAGTTGTTCTCTTCGTGATTCATAGTCTGTAGATGCATCAGTGATTGAGTGTGTCTCTGATTTATTAGTTATTGGTTTGTTTCATAGGATGGTGGTTGCGACTTTTATAATTGGGTGGATCCCCCAAACAGTAGCTTCAAGAAGCAACTTCTGCTTGATTTGCGAGATGCAGTGAAGTACTGGAAGCATGCAACTGGAGTAGCTGAACAGAGTTTGAAAGATGCAAGAATGGAGACTACAAGACTCTTGGAAGGTGCAACAAGGGAGAATCAAAGACTGCAGCTTCAGCTGGAAGGCACAACAAGGGAGAATCAAAGACTGCAGCTTGAGCTGGAAGGCGCTGTCAGGTACAATGAAGACAGAGGGGCCATGTTTGTTGCAGCCAGGAGAGATGTGGCCATTATGCAAGCTGAATTGCAGTTGGGAGCTGAATCTAGGGTTGAGTTAGAGGTGAGGATAGGGACATTGGAGAAGGAGAGGAAGTTGTTGTTTGGTGCTCTATTTGTTTGTGTAGGATTAGTGGCTGCTTCCTGGATGCCTTGGATCATGTAAGTCAATGTGGTGTTAGCCTTAGTGTAGTTGTAGTTGTAGTTAGTAGGATCCATGTTGGTACTGAAAACCTATTTAGGTTCTATTATGGGTTGTGTAAGCTTAATGCATGAGCATAATTCTCAGGACCATGTATGAGTATCAGGTTAATGCTCATGTCCTAATGTTTTAGTGAAATGTGGTTGCATGAATCCTTTTATATGTGTAACCAGTGAGCTTTGTCAGAATAAAGTTCAATACAACACAGATCCATACAACACATGTCATTCAGTGATTAACACAGATCCAAGTTCATTACAATAGTTCAGGTTGCACACACACAGACTCATGAAATGTGACACACATGAAGTAAGGTAGAAGGATAGATCCAAGTTCATTACAGTAGTTCATTACAATAGTTCCAGATAGCATAGATAAGATAGATCCAAGTTCATTACAATAGTTCCAGATAGCATAGATAAGACACAGACACAGACATGGGCTCAAGGATTTGGTCCTGTCAGCAGTAAGGTAGAAGGAGTGGCTCCCTTGTGATCAGCTGCACTTGGTCTTCCTTCCTCTGGATAAATCTGCTTGGCTGGTCCTGCAGCTGACACAGCAACCTTTTGAAGGTAGAAGCACTTAAAACTTGGAGGCTTGCTTTACTGTGGTTTCCAGACATCCCTGGTATAGTGGCCTCTAGGGTGACCTTAGCCCGAGCCCCTTCCTTCAGCGTTGTGTTCACTCTTGCTGATGACTTCATAGCTTTTTGCCCATCCTGCAAGACAAAGGAAGTATATAACTAAGACAAAGAAAGTATATTACTATTAAGGATGACCACATGGAATAAGCAGTTAAACTTACATTGCAGTGTATTTTGCTACTAGCAGCAGTAGATGAAGGGCATGACTTCCTTTTTGATGAGTCTCCTCTACCAGACTGTGAAGCACCATCACCTCCTCTAACAGACTGTGAAGCACCACCACTTGCATTACCAGACTGTGAAGCACCACCACTTGTATTACTAGACAGTGAAGCACCACCACTTGCATTACCAGAACCTGTCCTCCTGCTACAAGTTGTCCTGTTGTGTCCAATCCCTTTACATACTCTGCACCTTATAGATCCAAGTTCACTACTATTGTACTCCCATGATTGCTTCTCAGCAGTTCAAGCTGGTAGTCAAACACCAGATCATACTCCCCCTTGGTTGCATCATACATCCTTTGCATCACAATTGATTTGGCTCTCTTAATCTTTGAAATACTGACATTTGCAAACATTTCCTTCTGAATTGTTTCTCTCATACTCTCAACTGACCACTGTGGGTTAGCCAATATCAACTTCTCATATTTATCTGCTATTCTCCTTGATGTCACTAAAGAGTTGTCTCTCCTTGGTGGGCATGTGTGCACATCTTTACATATGGCTATAAGCCAACTACTTGCCCTTGATGTCTTTGACAGATGCAAAACCCAAGGGCACTTTGGCCATGAACAAACTGCTCTACACCTTGTGCTCTCATTCTTCAAAAACTTAATCACCTTTCTTTCTGCAAGCCCATACTTGATGACAGCCTCCCTGAATGTTGACTTATCACTAAAAGCCATCCCAACAGTGAATACTGGCACTGGAGCATTGGCATCAAACTTGGGGAATTTCTTCTCCCTTCTAACCAACTCTCCATCAGATGTTTCATCATATGAATCATCCTCTTCATCAGTATCCATAGCATGGGAATCACAGCCATCCTCTTCATTAGCACATTCCACATTGACTTCATGCCTTTCCTCATCAACCACCAACATGCCTCCAACTTTTAATTTCTTCTTTAATTCCTTTAGCTCAGCTCTAATCTGGATTACCTCCTCATCCTCTCCACTGCTCTCATCATCACCGGGCAAGTAATCCTGGTCACTGGAATCATCCATATCTGAACTGTGTTCCTTCTGTACAGGAGCCTCTTCATGAATAGACACTTCTTCTTGCATAACTAACTTCTGTACAGGAGCCTCTTTCTCTCTAACCCAATGCAAATACTTAGTAGCACCTACTAAGTCCTTCACTTGTTCTGGTGATGACATGTTCATTATAGCCAAATCCTCAACCACCACATTGTCTTCATGAGGTGTTTCCATCCCAGTGCTTTCACTGTCTGCTCTTTCACTCTCCATTTGAGCATCTTCCTCCCAGTCACTACACTGGTCCTCCCCATCCTCTTCCTCCTTAGTCTCCATGCCATCAGCTTTCACTTCAATAAGCTCAACAAATACATCTACAAGCCCTCCATCAGTAACACATTCAGACATTCCAAACAAGCCTTGTCATATACCAAAACTCTGAGCCCATTCAGTAAATCCTTGCCAGGGAACAACCAATGGAGAAGAACAGGCTCTGAAGCATTGTAATGGTCTTTAAGATGTCCAATTACTTCAGGCAAAGATATTTTGTCACGCTCGATGAATGACATCTCCTCATTTCCACCTAGATAATGAAGCTTCTTTCCATCATTGAAAAACTCGCCACCAAAGTGAAATCGAACACAAAGAAATTCCAAAGGGTCCATTCCTACAACAGATAGTAGAGTCTTAGGACTACGGATCCGAGGTAACTAACCTAAGAGTACTTCCATCCCTACATCCAGAAATGCAGAAGGATTCAATCGTACCTGAGCGTGTTTGTTTCAATCCTCCAAGCCCATACGACTACGAAGGCGGCGGCGGAGGACTCCCAGGCGGAGGGGAGACTGCGGATGCGGAGGCACCGGAGGAGAGGATGCGGTAGCGACTACGGCGATGGAGGCGGCAGCGGCGGCGTCTAGGGTTCGGGGGAGAGGAACTGAGAGGGAGAGACAGAGCTGAGTGGCCGGCTCGTGTTTTGACCCGCACGGTGATCCTACGTGTCCGTCAACGCCAGTGTGGCCACTCAAAACCGGGAACACGTCAGCGCAAACTGCCTCAAACGCGCCGAGGGGCTTAAAGTGAACGGGTTTGAAAGTTCCGGTGCCCAGATCAGACAATTTTTTACTTGGAGGTAAAAATTAGACCGACATGAGAGTTCAGGGGCCAAAAGTGGACTTAATCCTAATGTAAACAGAAAAATGAACCCCAAAAATTCATGAAGGAACTGAAGCTGCTCAACAAAGGGGAAAAAACATAGCATCACCAGGACAAATGTGTTTGTGTGCGTGCACTAATGTAGTACAAGTGGATAAGTCGCTTATTAGCAGCTGCATAAACTATTTCTATTGGAAAAACTGATTTTATTGAGTGGTTTTTGTAACCGCCCATAAACAAACGTTTGTAGGAATATAGATATAGTGCACCGTGCAAATCCTAACTTTAATATTTTGGTGCCCATTGCAACGCATGTGACAGAAGATCTCCACTAAGTAAGGATCTCAATCAAGAAAAATACAGAGGGGGAGTGGGGCATTGCCTATGTTTTATTGGAAAGTTCTCAATTGACAAGAAGAGATCGGGTGGGGGAGGGCCATTGGGTATGCTTTATGGAAAATGTTTTCTCACATTACTGTTTAACATGTTTGCTTTCACATTATTGTCATGTAAACTTGATGCTTGTGTATCTCAAAATGTCGCTGAAAACATGTTACTAAGATTAGGTAGATTCTAATGTTAGGTGATCTTAAACATTTTGTTTTCTCTTCAAATTTTTCGGCTCCCGTGGTAATGCACACGAGCACATAATTTTGATTTGTCGTAGGTACGAAGCAACTCATACTTAATCCTTCTCATTATTCTTACCCGTATGAATGCCGTGTTGATAGACTAGTCAGTCTACGCTATTACACTTGGATCACAGTCACAGAAAAATATTTACAATCATGTGTCCAAGTCCAACTATACTAATTTTCTAAAACAAAAGTTTTAAAAAGAAGTGAAGAAAGGTACTACTAGTTAAAGAATTTAATTTGCCTTAGCAAAATTTGGGGAAAGAGGGGACTAGGATTCGCTTGTCAGTCACACTTGTTTAACACGTGATTTCTCCAGTGGTTCATTGTAATTTCACCTCCAAATAGTATGATTGGGACAATAGTATTTGACACGGTCGAATTGAACGTTGAATCGTTAACGAAGGGGACGTCTATCCTGTAATCACTCGATTTTCCTTCTTCCTCCTCCCCGATGCGCCGTTCATCTTCTTCCTCATGCCCCCTCCTCATCCTCGCCCCCGCCACCTCCTCGTCCTCGCGCGCCCGGCCGCGCAGCTCTCTGGCGCTCCTCCTCTGCATCTCCGCCTCGTACTCGCCCTCGCCGCCGCCCACCGCCCCGCCGCGGCGAGCTAGGGTTTGCCCATGCGGCGGCCGCCTTCTTCCCCTCCCCCTCGCCGGAGCTCCGCCATGGTCATCCTCGCCACGACGCCTCCACCCCTCCCTGGCCCGGCCGCCTCCACCGCCGCCGACCACCATCCCCACCGCTTAGCCTGCCTACCTCCCTCCAGCCGGCCCCTTTAATACCCGCCGGAGTTGGAGAAAAAAGAGGGGGAGAGGCTCACCGGAACCCTAGCTGCCGCGCTGGAGCTAGGGAGAAGACGGCGGCCGCGGGCGAGAAAGAAAACGGCGAGCACGGGCACGAATAGGACGACCTCCACCGCATACCCCCGCGCGAACCGGACGTAGGAAAAATCACGTGCGAAATCCAGGTAAAACACTCGGTCGTTGTTTAGCATTCCTGTTAATGAATCATTGGGGGATAATTTAATCTATCTTGCGAAAGCCACGAACAGATCTGTCTTTTGCACTGAAGAAACCTGTGACGACGCTGCTAGCCTGTGTGACGTGTAGGCTATCAGACAACGATGTTTGTTCACATTTCTCTTTCTTCATTCAGAAGACTCGAAACGACTAACCAAACCAGGACGATCCATCGTTCGAATGACTGATGCTGGCAATATGAATGTTGCAGCCTATTGTTGCCCCAGATGTGCTAGAACATGTCGGTTCCATGTCTCTGCTGTTGCTAGGCTGAGACTGAGAGCGGTAGACACAGCAGTTACTGCTTACT